GGGAGAGAGCTGCTTGTACTTTGAGGAACGGGCTTTCAAAGGCCCCTCAGAGAAGATTCTGGCTTTTTTCCAGTATGCAGGATCAGCCAAAGGGCAGCAGGCATTCCTCACACAATATGCAACCTTGGCAGGTGCACCAGAAAGCAGGCTGCTTGCTCTTTCTCTCTTTGACCAGCTCCCGCTGCATTAATGAAGAATGACACAGGGGTTGTTGGGTAACAGACCCCTGTTTTCCCTTGGCAGCGGGGAAAACACTCGGGAAATTCTAAGTTTCCCCCGCGTTTTGAGGCTAATTAGCTCCAGGAATCCACAAAGAGCCTGGTGCCCACTTGCAGACCAGTGTTGTACTGGGGCAGATATTTAGAACTGCCCCTTGCAGAGACGTATGGACATGTCTTTGGGCTCTGGCCAAAGTATAAGTCTTACGGTTTTTTTTTGTTTTGTTTTGTTTTGCTTTGTTTTTTGACAAGTACGGTGATGTTGTTAGCTTTTAATTTTAAACTGAATCCTTATTTAGCTAATGATCCAACGTATCTCACACTAGATAGATTTCAGAGGAATTAAATAAATTTATTAAATGCGATCAAGTTTAAATTTCTAAGCAAAAATTATATTGTGCTTTAAGGTTTGCAAATTTGTAAATATTATCTCATTTTATCTTCACAACCACCCTGAGAAGTAAGTGCTATTATTATCCCCATTTTACAGATTAGGAAAATGAGGCAAACAGAGATTAAGTGACTTGCCCAGAGTTACGCAACTAGTAGGTGGATAGATTTGATGAGAGAGTTAAATTCAAATAAAGATGCTTACATTGTTATAGCACCACATATGCAAATTGAAAATAAAACAAGAAAAAACTCCAGAGATGGAAGCAAGGGATTAAGCTCAAATAGTGACTTTGGCACATGGAACCAGACTAGTATCAAAGCCACTACATAAAGGTGCCAATTATTCTGGTACAGCTCAGTCTGGGCCACTATAAATGTACTGATGTGAAATCAGTTTTAGGATTGCATGTCACCCTAGTCTTAAAAAAGAAATAAAATCTCTCCTATAGCTCCCCACCCCAAACTACTGGAAAATAGAACTACGGAAAATAGAATTGTAGAGTTTAGGCTAATGAGCTGACTGTCTTCTTACATGCTGAATGTGATAAGAGCATGGTGGGATGAAAAATCTGGAGTGGTTAAGTAATCAAGGCAGAAATAATTAGGTAGACTAAACCCCAACAGAAATAATCCATCTTTTGGAAAGAAATGTCATTTTGAAAAATTTAAAAATCTTCATCAAGCTATTATGCCGCTGAAATATATAAGTGCTTTGCATTATGTTTTCTTTCCTTGAAACATATGCAGCCCAGGCAAGAGTAATTAAGGGTTTTCACTCCATCCCAAGCACTTCATCTCAATGATAGCAGAGCTGGACACTGGAGAGTAATATAAATAACCCATAAATTATCTTTCCTAAATAAATTGTCTATCGGTTTAGAGAGAACATTATTTTGGATTCAGGTATTTCAACGAGTCTTACTATGTACTGCAAGCCTGTTAGGATGTTTTTTTTTTTTATTTCTCAGTGAGCAGGTGGATCAAGTCCTTTTTTGAAAGTTTCCATGAAAATCATAGGCTAACTGATTTTCCCTCTTTCCATCAACCCTCTTTTCCCATCTCATTAGTGAATTTTCAATGAACTCCCTCTGAAACAGAGGGACTTATTCAAGACGAGGTTGTAGAAGAAAGGTTCTCAACAAATTGTATCCATCTCTGAAAAAAAATGGATTTCTGCATCAATCATTTTGAAATAAAATTCATTTAGACTCAAAAGATATTTATTTATCAAGTGCCTACTACGTGCGAACTATTGCACTAGGAGCTTTGAGATAAAGAGAGGAAGACCATTTCTGTCCTAAAAGAGCTTATGATCTGAAATGGAGAGGAAGAGGGAGAAAGGACAAGAATAAAAATCACTTGTGACAAGCAAAATACTATCTAAACCAAAGGTACAAGGTGGTTAAGAGGAATGGAGGGATTCCATCTGATTGGCTGGAGGAAATCAGGAAAGGCTCTCAGGAAGTCACAGGCTGGGTCTTGCAGAAGGGAAAGGCTTCTGTCAGTGCTTACTCAGGTCCCAGTTGTGTTCTGCCTCTACTATATCCTACAGAGAGTTGGGGGTCACAAGGTAAGGTAGAGATGGAGGCTTTTAAAGACGCTGTTCAGAAGCATTATTATCCCATGTGGTTCATGCTAGTCACAGGAGTGAAAAGTGCCACATATGCTCACAGCCCTATGTTGCTCCCCAGAAACCACACAGGACTTCTCATATCCTCCTCCTTTATGATGCACTCAGGCAGCCTCCAGTCCAGCTTAATGACTTACATAATGACTGTACATAAACCCTTCTTAAGCTTTTCTAACATCTCATAATAATTAGGGTCCATTCTTTAGTTATCTGCCTTTCCCATGGAGTCATGGCTGTCTCTTGGTTCAGTCAGAAACAGTCTGTTTCTCCCTCCCTATATCCTTGAGATAACAAGCTTGCAACAGTATATTCTTAAAGCACAGCTAACAAGGTTATTGCAAATACAGTTGAAAGACTTTCTACTTCCGTTCCCTCAGGGTGGAGGAGGCCCATAGCCCAGCCATTTTTCTGTAGGTGGGATTGTGAAAGAACTGAATTTCAGGCCTGGAGAACAGAGTGTGGAAAGTCTGAGACACATTGATGACATTTAAAAGTGGCCCCTTTTCTTGCCCTCCCATTCCCCCTTCCCCACTCCCCATGTGTTACAGTTAACCAGAGGGTTTAACCTTTGCTATGCAACACTTGTGATTCGACTAATTGCAGAATAAATACAGCCAGGTCCCAATTAGTGCCAATAAGGAATTTACCAAAGTGGTGGCACTATTCAAAGTTATAATTATGTAAATATGGTAAATGAATTAGCCCACTGAAAATATGTAGTGAGAATTCTAATAATGCAACCACTAGGGGAGAATTTGTTGTTTGTCCTAATAGGGACCTAGCTGTATCTATATGCCACGAAGAGGGTCACTAAATGTATATGAAGTCATTAAAAATAATATTAAAATGTGTTCTGTATTGTACTTCCTAGTGTACTGTGGGCAGCTAGGTGTTGAAATGGATAGAGTGCTGGGCTTGGAGTCAGGAAGACTCATCTTCCTGAGTTCAAATCCAGCCTCAGACACTTCCTAGCTGGATGACCCTGGGCAAGTCACTTAACCCTGCTTGCCTCAGTTTTCTTATTTGCAAAATGAGCTGGAGAAGGAAATGGGAAACCACTCCAGTGTCTTTGCCTAGAAAATGCCAAATGGGGTCAGAAAGAGTTGGACACAATGAAAAAGGACTGAACAGCGGCAGCATGTACTGTACCCAAGATTGCTGCTTATCGGTTTTGGCTCCATGTATTGAGGGAGAAATCTCAGTTAAGGCTGGACTGATGTAATGAAATTGAAATTGTGGCTTGAAATGATCATTTTGATTTGGGTCCTCATTCCACTTACTAGTTGTGGGACTCTGGGCAAGTCAGTTTGCCTAGCGTGAACCTTGATCCTCATCTCTAAAATGGGTATTATAATAGCTACTTCATGGAGCTGTTTTGGTGAATTAAATGAGATACTGTTTGTAAAGTATTTTGTAAATATTGAAGTGATGTATAAATATGGGTTATTATTACTATTAAGCTTAGTGTCTCCGGACCTTAGTTTCTTCATTTGTAAAATGTGTGTGGTTGGTCTAGACCATCTCTAAGATCCATTCCGGCTCAAACGGTTGATTTTATAAATGGTAGGAGTTTTGCTAAGTAGCCACCACCTAAATCAGCCATCTGTGAGGAGGTGCAACATGAACAGCTTTATGTCTGCTTACCAAGGCCTCCCCACCTGTGCACACCAGCACTGGGTATGCTTGTGCGCACCACAGGCAGGCACCCCCAGTTGGTAGGCAACCACTTAAGTGGTCCATTTACAAACTCAGTAAGGAAATATCTTGGGGCTGTCGTAGCCCCTCCTACTCACGAGTCTGAAATTGCTGTAGAAACAACCACCTGGCCCTGCTGTGAGATGAAGCAGATTTATTCCCAGTCAACAAACAGGGCAACTGGAGCACGGAGTTTAAATGACTTCCCCCAAGCCACTCCAGGAATGTAGAGCGGAACAAGAAGAGGGCTTATGGATCCCAAGTCCCTCCTCTAGGAGGTAACCTGCAGACCTCTGGCCCTCCCCAGGTACCTCAGGGTGGCTGCCGGGAGTCACAGAAACCCTTACCTGGAACAGGCTCTCCTGGTTAGTTCTTCCCCTCCCCGCCCCCTCCCCCAGGACAATGGTACAACTTCGCTAATTCCCACATCAGCCATTCTCTGAGTCTGGTAATTTTCACAGGAGACCTAGTGGTCTCAGCCCACTTTTCAGCAAGATTTAATAGCAGAAGGCCATTGTGTGGCCTGGAAGAGAAGTATCTGCAAATCTGTGGTTTGGAGAAAGCTGTGTCCAAAACAATTCAGACCTTCACTTGCAGCCGATGGATTTGCAAGGGAAAGGATTTCTGGTAAGATTACAATTAATGGGGCTTTATCGGAGTGTCAGGTTCACTTCCTGCCTTTTAACTCTTTCACTGCTTCTCTCTATGCATTGTTGTTTGGGCTGGCAGAACCATTTTGCTGAGACTGGCCTTGGGCCAAGACAATTTGGGAGCTAAGGTACTGGAACCAGACAGCTAGTGAACCAGTGTGGCTTCCCACACCCAGCAGAATGGCAAGATGTCAACCTGCAGGGTGATGTCATAGCATTCTTTTGTATGTGTGAGTTCTGATAGCATGAGAATCCACAGCAATTTCCAACTTAGCTCTCCATCTAAGACCTGGTGTATTTTACATTGCAAAATACATCCAAGAAGTTAGTGCCTCCAAACATCTAGAGAGGAACCCCTGGCCTGGAACTATGAGCTGCTGTTTATGGACTAGTCCTTCTTATTCATGGTTACCTGGTTCTCTTTCAGGGACTCATCTAGCCACCCTGTTGTTGATTTTCTTCTAGGACATACCAGGTAATAGGGATGTTTACTGCAGCCTTTGGCTAGGAATTTTTGTTCCTGGGACAAGCACAAATGTGTCTGGGGCAATGATCTTGGAATGCACTTTTAGCTAGGGTGGGAGTGTGTGTGTGTGTATGTGCGCGTGCGCGTCGTATGAGGAGATAGACCCTAGTGGAAACAGAGGGAAGCCTCAGCACACAGTATTTCCTCACCCCCACCCCCCATATCTTTTCATATTTGGCATGTAAGGAGCCTTACAAGTGTGAGGTGAGGGTAGAATGGTAATTCTTATAGCAAACAGATGCTGGGGATGGAGAGGGCTGAAATCTCACCCCCTCCCTCCCAAAAACACCCCCAACAACTTTCAAAAAATAATGTTAGTATTGAAAGGAGTTTTAGGTACCATTCCAACCAATTCCTTCACTTTTCAGCAGAGGAAAGTGAGGTCCCAGAGACAGGGAGTGACTTGTCCTAGTGAAAGGCTCCTTCAACTCTTATTGAAACTGAGATTGTGGGCAGCTAGGTGGCATAGTGAATAGAGCTCTGACCTTGGAGTCAGGAGGACATGAGTTCAAATCTGGCCTCAGACACTTAACACTTACTAGCTGTGTGACCCTGGGCAAGTCACTTAACCCCAATTGCCTCACCAAAAAAAAGAAAAGAAAAGAAAAGAAAGAAACTGAGGTTGAGGTTAGATTCAAATAGAGGCCAAATCTCATAAGCTCACAGACTATTGGAGCTAGATGGGACATTATAAAGGAAAGGCTTGAACTCAGGTTTCTTGATACCCAGTTTAGCTCACCTTCCCTTGGTTTCTGCAATTTGGCCTCTCCCGTAGTTCTTCCAGAATAAAGCTCCTGATCTCATGACTAAGGAGAGAAAGGGAACATTTCTATCATTCAGGGCACATCCTGTCCCCAAGGTCAAGGTGTCTCTGCTCTCTTGCACTGGCAGGCAAGTTTGAGAGGTTTGGAAGGATGGAACTTAGGGAGAAAATAAAAGTATTCTAATACCTCCAAGAAGGCATAATGTCTTAGCAGGTGTTGAGGACCTACCTTGTGCCATCTTAAGTCCACCTCCATTTCCTATTCTAAAGGCACCTGAGAACTCTGAGACCTGTGGAGTCATCCTCAGGAGCCAGGTAGCTGTGCCACTATCCTCTCCCGACAGAACCTGCAAGGGTAGGCTTTGAAAAGGGTAGGCTGGTGGTAAGGAGGAGACTGGCTTGTTGAAACCAGACCTGGGTTAGGACTAGACCTCTCAGCCCAACCCTAAGCTGGTACAGAGCTCAGATCGCATCAGTTCTTGCCTTCAGTTTATCTCCTCACTTGTAGGAGGAGCTCTGGAAGACAGAGTCACATTGCACTGCTATCCCAGTTGAAGTCTCTACTTCTATCCTTTCTATTTCCTCTAGAGTCTACTCTTGGAAGAATTAGACACAAATTGAAATTCTCAACATCTTTGCTCACCAAAGATTCTGACTACCATCGGATTTTCCTTAGAAGGATAAAAGTGCTGTCAATAGCCTTTTAAATTCCTCGTCTTCACACAGATTTCCCACTTTTTTGCAAAGCTTCTGGTTATAGTTCTTACCTTGGTTATAGTTCTGGTGTTTCTATCACAAGTTTTAGGATGTTTTAGACCAAAGAATTAGAATGAGTAGAGCAAAGACCAATGGATAAACAAAGGAGGAATTTTTCAAGAAGAACACCATGATAGGTAAGTAGGACTTTTCTTCAGAATCTTCATGAATGCATAATGTTTTTTTCTGGGTATAAGGAGATTGATTTATCCCCCCCATCCCCAGCCATGAGTAAATACCAGTACTGAGAACATGAGATGATGGAGCCAGGTAAGAAAGGGGTGAAATTTCATATTGTTGTTTGTTTTTTGTTTTCACAAAACACCAATGATGTCACAGGGTGATGTCTTAACTTGTGGGTGAATTGGATTTAAGTAAGGCAGAGGTGCACAAAGCCATCAGCCTTACTCTCTCTTCCTGAGTCAGTGACAAGACAAAAGTCAAGAAGACTGGTGATGGCCCAGGATGCAGTGGATGACCTTGGCGTCTTCTGTCTTTGATGCCTGGGCCAAGCTCTAAGTGCCCCTGCTTCAGCCACCTACATGGCTGAATGTAAAACTGAAATTGAATGTAGTTGGCTTTATGAAAGAGAACAAGAAGGGAAGTCATTTGGCTGGTCCTGATTCTTAGTGTAATCTTTATACTAGTATTCCCAAGCCTAGCTAGTGCTATTGGTATTCTGAAGGATCAATAGCCAGCTAGACAGGGACTGCCTGGGGCTTAAAACTGGACCTTGTCATTACAGAGAAGCAACCTGGAGTCTTAATCTTAGAATCAGAAAGACCCGAATTCAAATCTTGCCTCTAATATTAACTGAGAGAGTCTTGGCAAGTTGTATAGTGGCTTTGACCCTCAGTTTCCTTATCTGTAAAAGGGTACTTGCAATATCCACTTCACAAAGTTGTTGTGTGAATCAGATGAGAAAGTCTATATAAAATGCTTTGTAAACCTCAATGAACTTCTTAGGTCCCCGCTAATGTTATGAAGGTTCACTAGCCCATATTCAATCACCAAGGAACATTTATTGAACACCTATTGTGAACAGGGCAGAGTCCTAGGTGGTATGAGGAATATATAATATAAAACAGATACCTTTACTATCTAGTTGATATGACAGCGCACACACACACACACACACACACACACACACACACACGCAAATAGCTGGCAATAAAAAGTGTGAATTCCTTTGACTCAGATATTTGCTTGCTTTAATGATACTAATAACAGCTAACTTTATTATGGCATTCTAAGGTTTAAAAATGCATTGCATATATTATCTCATTTGATCTTGACAAACTTGTGTTGTCAATAGAAAAAGTATTATTATGCCTACCTTACAAATGAGGAAACTGAGGTAATCAATAAGCATTTATTGTGCCCAATACTGAGAATACAAAACCAAAAATGAAATAGCCCTTGCCTTCAAGGAGCCAACATTCTATTAGAATGTAAATGTAATAAACATATAAGAGAAGTTAATGACTTGCTCAAGGATACATAGCTAGTAGAATATATCTGTGTATGTGATATATGTACATAATATGCATGCAAGTATGTGTGATCACACACACAAATGTAATGGGAAATGATCAGAGAATGCCCTGATTATCTCCCCTCTTCTCTTACACATGTATTGTTCCTCCTTTGAGGCAGAACAATGCTATCACAGAGTGATGTCTTTATTGATGTATCATCATAGTAATGTGTGTCCACATGGGTTTGTAGACTAGATGTGACTTGAAGGGAGGAGGGAATGAATAGCTCTAGGGTCTTTTCTGCCCACCCTTCTCCAAGGAAGACTTTGCTCCTCGTCAGGAGGGAAACAGGAGATTGATGCCAGAGGTTGGTCACTCTCCTCTCCTCAGTGAAAGAGGATAGGTACCATGCTAGAATTATACCTCTCCACGTCCTCTAAATATTGTTAGTCTAGAGGAAATAATTTTTAGGTCCACGCTGCACTCCTGATCACTATCCCTTATCAGGGAAGGAGCTATATATACAAGCTATGTATAAAAGACTTAACTCTATTCCCACCAAATATCAGTTGTAAAAAGATATATCATGACTAGAAAATAAACCCATTTATCCAAGCTGATAGCAAACAGAAATCAGAGAAGGTATAAAGATGAGAATATACCAGACAAAACAGAATGAATGACCTCTCTTACTGGCAGTGAGATATCTCAGCTCAACTAAGTGAGGGTGGAGGAGAGTCCCAGATCACATTCAAGGGGAAATTCCCTGAAGTCTCTAGTGCAATAAGTTGGGGATAGGGATGTGATCAAGGGGCTGGCTCCTTTCCATATTGGCTTCTTCCCCAGAGACTTTCTCTCCTTTCAGCACCTCTCCCTGCAGAGAATCTGGAAATCAGTATCTTTTCTCTTGAAGGTGGCAACTAGAAGACCAAGATCTCGCTTCTCCCAAGCTCTCAAGGACTCTACCCTTCACACAGTCTGGGAGCACTGAGTAATCAGTCTCCACCAATGAGGAGAACCTATGCAAATGAATTTTGAGCTGTGGGTTAAATGTAAATTTTAAAATGTATATTTTTCAATCATTCCAAAAACACTAAGCACCAAATCTACATATGGTGCTATTCTAGGCTGGGAAGGAAAACAAGTAAAAGATGTATTTCTAGTCCTTTATGGAGTTGGCAGTCTAGTTGGAAGGGAAAAGCATAATAAACACGTGGAAAGTTAAATGACTACATGAGTTAAATCATTATACAAGACAACACTAGCAAGTTTATAACTGGGCAGAAGATAAGTATCACTTTGGTTGGACAATGTCTCTGTTGCAGGAAAAATATCTGCCATGGGTTCCTGGACACCTAAGACTCTGCCATGTAAACTGGGTTAGTTTCTCTTTAGTCTCTGCCACACAGGCCACCATAGTTTTTTAGTTGTTTTTTTTTTTGTGGGGGAAAGGGTTGTTTGTTTTTATCCCTCCTAATTTTCCTTATGTAGCTTTTCTAGGAGCATTAACAATAACTAGGGAATACTCTCCTGGCATTATCTTTGTCCTCCCTGTCAATTTCTTTAGTATCCGTTGGATTAATCTCTTTGAGTGAATGAGATCTTTCTCTATATATACTATTTAGAGGAGTTTCCATATGCCATCAGAGGGGCTCTTACCACATAATGCCATGCTACCATATCTGCTTATCTGATCACTACATCTTCCTTTAGGATGAAGTAGTAACTTCTCACATGCTCCCCACATACTCTGTATCAGCCTTACACCATTTAGTCCATGATATGATCCAAATGCCATCTTGATCAAATCTTACTATGAACAAAATGTTGTAGGTTAGAACTGACTCAAGCTAGTCTGATGGTTTAGGTTCAGGATTAGAATGAGATGAGACATTTATAGACTATTAGGTAGTTAATAAAAGAGGTTTACTTAGCCAAACCATGGAAAAGATATTCATCAAGGATACTATAGCACTGGTTTAGGTAGACAGTGCCCCTCATCTCTATATGGGACTGTGTGTTGACTTGTATAGTCATGGAACAACCATCAAGACTTGAAGAGCACTGACTCTTCATGGGCTGGCCTTTTAATGCCTTAGGTAACTGGGAGGCCACATTAATGGTTCACATTTAATCTCCTGGACCAATCAAGTCTTGAAGAGAACTTCTCTACTTTTTAGGGGAAAATGTGCCCAGGCTATGTGGCTAGGCTTAGGGGAAACTTACCTAGCCTGTGACATAACCTAGACAGTTATGTCAATGACGTAAGCTTTAGCCCTCTAGATCAGTCAAGTCTCAGGGACAGTTTCCCTGCATTTTATGAAAAAGCCAAACCAAATCAAACCAAAACTGAACAAAACCTAGCCTAGCCTACATAGTAGATATTGGGCAAAGTTTCAGCAGAAGATTCTTAAAGAGGAGAAGATTTGACATCATCCCCCTTATGGAGTTCCCAGGAAAGAAGAGTTTTTTTTCTGGTGGGCCAAGGATCAATGATTAAGAGTCAGTCCAGAGTGAGTCTAGGCATTGACTCAGATCCTAGTAAAGGTTTCTTTGAAGAGTTTTATAATCTCATAACTATAATATTTCAGGTGACCTTGACTGGTGATAAGCATGGATAACTACATTTCTGTGCTGTGGTCCTAATGTTCTTTGTGCTACTTCTGTAGAACATCCTTTACTTTGGGAGAGTTCATTTTGTTTTTATTTATTTATTTTTTAGGCAATTGTGGTTAAGTGACTTGCCCAGGGTCACATATATAGTAAGTGTCAAGTGTTTGGTCTGAGGTCAGATTTGAACTCAGGTCCTCCTGACTTCAGGGTCAATGCTCTATCCACTGTGCCACCTAGCTGCCCGTGAGGGTTCATTTTAGATTGCCCTCAACATCAAAGAACACATGGAAGGTCTCTGATGGGGAAAAAGTGAAATCTGGGGTTCCTGGTCTTTGTTCCCTACCATATTCAATCACCCTGGTACTGAATTACTTCTGGAGTTTGCACACTGCTTGTTTTTTTTTTTTTAACTTTCTTTTTGTTTTTATCTTACACGCTCTAAACTTCTCCAGTGATGTCTGTGCCTAGCTTCTCATATCAGCATTGTCTAGTAAAGTCAGTAAGTTGCAGAAGTTTCTTTAAAAACTTTTAGAGGGGCATCTAGGTGGCGTAGTGGATAGAGCACCAGCCCTGAAGTCAGGAGGACCTGAGTTCAAATCTGGCCTCAGACTAAACACTTGACACTTACTAACTGTGTGATTCTGAGCAGTCACTTAACCCCAACTGCCTAAGCAAAACAAAAAAAAAATTATTTATTAAAAAAAAAACCTTTTAGGGATTTGCCACCAATGGGTGGGTGGTATGATAGAAACAATGTATACCATGGAGGCTAGGCTTTTTTTTTCTTCTAAAAGATTGGGAAGCTGTCCCTGAGACTTGAATGGCCTAAGAGGCAGAGGCTTATTGCCTAGGGCATTAAAAGGCCAGCCCACAGGAAGTCAATACCCTTCAGACGTGATGGATATTCCATGGCCATTTAGGTCAACATGTCTTTCTGACTAGACAGATGTATGCAGATGAAAGAAGGATCTGAGTCTTCCTGAACCAGGATTGTATCCTTGTTGATTTTCCTTTCCGTGCTTATAGATAAGTAAAGCTCTTTTTGTTGACATAGATGGTCTATGAAAGTCTCACTGTTTTAGTCCTAAACCTGAAACACCAGACCGTCTTGAGCTAGGCATCACAGACGTTTGGAGACTGAAGAGTCAGTACCATTTGTACTGTCAGTGAGGTAATCCTTACCTGGGACAGAGGCAGCTTTGTTAGAGTTGTGGGCAGAGCAGGAATGTCGACTGAAGAGTCAAGTTGACTTAGTCAGTAGAGTTCTTAGACCATCAAGAACCGACAGGTTAGTTAGAGATAAGTAGGAAAGCTGGTTGCTGATCAGAGATTGCGGGCTGAAGAGCTCCATGTGTGATCAGGAAGCCCAAATAAAGCAAATGTCAAGGTCCTGATGATTTGTCAGATTCACCCCAATTCCCCGCCTACCACAGTTTCTATCCCATCTCTTCAAGATGGGGCTTGAGCTAAGAAGAGACAGGGATATGGGGACCGGCATAGGGAATGGCTTGAAGCAGGTAAACAAAATTTTCCTGCATTTTTTTCCCCCTAATGCCCTGACCCTGATTCGTGAGACCACTGATTTATTTCATATAGAGTCTACAGACCTTCCGGATAAATAACACATAGTATATTGTTCCCTGAGGGCAGCTAGGTGGTTCAGTGGATAGAGCACTAAGTGGGCCTGGAATCAAGAGGACCCGATTTCAAATCTTGCGACAGACACTTACTAGCTGTGATCCTTAACGCTGACTGCCTCAGTTTCCTCATCTATCAAATGATCTGGAGAAGGAAATGGTAAACCACTGCAGTATCTTTGCCAAGAAAATCTCAGATGGGGACATGGAGAGTTGGACAAGACTGAAGCAATTCAACAATAGGAACAATATTATACCCCAATGTGTCACAGCCCTATATCCAAAAAGACAACTGTCTTCCTATGGTTATTGTCACAAGCATTCCTTGAGACTGAAATTTACCTTCTCTCCTCATGTTTTCCCTCCTCAGGTTGTCCCATATGGTTGTCCTTTGTCCAAAATCAGCCTTAACTTTCCATAGCTACTTCTGTCACACTGTCTGTGAACTTGTTGGTTTCTAGGCAACTGGTGGCACAGTGGATACAGTGCTAGGGCTGGAATCAGGAAGACCGAAGTTCAAATCTGGCCTCAGACACTTACTGTGTGACCCTGGAGAAGTCACTTAACCTCTGTGTTCCTCAGTTTCCTCAACTTTAAAATAAATAAGTAATAGCATCTATTTTGAAGGGGGTATCGTGAAGACGATACAAGAAAATATTTGTTTAAAAGTGTTTATAGTTCAGTGCCTAGCACATAGATAAATGCTTATTTCTTTCCCTTGCCCTCCTACATCTAGGTCTTTATTCTCTAAGTTACATATTTCCTGGCCTGATCATCAGTGGTATCTTTTGCTCTGGGCCCACCTGAGTTCCATTAGCAGCAGAAGAGATGATAATGAACATCCAAAAAAGTGAGAGTTGTTATTATTGACTGAAATGATAACTGCAAAGCTATCCATTTGAGAATGAGAGCGCTGTAATTAAAACCCTCTCCCACTCTGCCTGCAAAAGTTGATAGTCCTAAATGAATCATATTAAGATAGGATTTGACTCTCAGATGATCAGGTTCAAGCTTGTGGAATGTTAGGCCTGTTGGGTGTCCTTAATGCAAACCCTGTATGCCAAGCATAACTATAGCACTATCTTTTTGGGATCTCACATTGAATTTTATTAAATCTTCCACAAACATTGTCCTATTTGTTGAAGATGACTTGCCAAACTGCCCCAGATGTTAGATCTATCCTTGCACCTTAATTTGCCTGCTCTGTATTTGTCCACATTTACCTAATTATGGCAAAACATTTTAAGTATCATTTTTGAAATTCTTGGTGAAAGATTTCCTGCCACCCTTGAGATATGTTATCTGCATATTCTTAAGAAACAGAACAATAAACAAAGATACTTTAAAAAAATACAGCTTTCCTGACTGCCAAGTAAAATATAACTTTGTTATGGAAATCTTTTGTTCCTCCTCTTCAAAATCTTAGATTATGTGTTTGTAGGCTCCTTCCTTCAGTAGAAAAAAATAAGAACTTGTTGGCTTCAAACCAGTCCATGAGACTTTGAACCAATATGAGTCTCCTATCTGATATATAAGAAAATAATACAGTGGGTCATTAAAGACGGAGGGGAAAAAATTGGAGATATCACCTTAATTTTAACTACTGGATCATAGCCAGTGGATGAAATGGGATCATTCCCATGTATTTCTTTAGCTTCCATATTTCATAGTTGCCCCTTCATAAAACATTAGGTTTACATATAGAAGCCTGGATTGTGTACTTCATGTTAGAGGTAAATTATTCCTCATCTTGCATTGTAGGAAGGTGCAAGCTTTCTATATGTAAACAATACTCTGGGGTTCTGAGAAGGATACAGATTATGATGCTGCAAATGGGTCTTATCAAATACCCTGCCTTCTAAGCTAATGAGCCATGAATAGTGACTGAGCTTTGTGCACACCATTACTGTGAATTCTGAACAAACACTGTGTGTCTTAAAAGGATGGGAGACAGAA